GCCTAATCCACCTGCATTCCAGCATTCAGTTAACAGGCAATGAGCATTTGAAACTGCATAGAGAGAACACAGTTTCTCAGGCTAGTCAGACTTAAGGACACCAGCAGAGAAACTCCTCTAGGGCAAAGGGGAGAGAGCCAGACCAAATGAAACCCCAGACAGCACAGATACCTTATCCATAAAGACCAAAGAGGCAGCTACACCAGAGCTCACAAACACTTAAAAGGTAAGTCCCAAAATAGAAGGTATGGTTATCACATAAATGAAAAACTGTTAGGTAATACTTCCTTGTGTTTACATGGGGAAGTATATACAACATAAAACATTAAAAATACATCAAGCATTTTAATTTCAGAGGAATTAAATATAAGAAACATGCCAAATAGGCAGAACTATCTAACAAAGGGACTTAAGGTGTACTATGAGTAAGTTTTATGTAAAATGTTCATATAAATAGGTTATAAACATACCACTGTTAGCAGAAAATGGACAAAAGAGACTAAGGTAGTATGATAAGATCCAAAGGCCCACATTAGTGAAAAGTCTTTATCTCCAGGGTAGTGAAAAGCCCAGAGTGACCCAAGAAATTATAACTTGAGTTATACTTCATCAAATAGTAAAAGGCTTAAAAAGTAAGTTTGTAACATTGGGGAGTGATCATTTCTTACCGAAAAGCTTTGGCACTGTGTGCTACAATAATGTCATCTGATCTACAAGTATGTACTCTGAGAAATTTCATTCAACCAATATTTTACTGGATGTACTGTTTCAGATACTTGAAGCTGAGGTAAATATTTGCATGTGATTGGTAATAACTGTGGAATTGTGAAACATAACTGTCCAATGAGAGAAGAGGTGAGTCTTTTATTTCTATAGAATGTTTTCAGCTTTGGACTACTGTGAATGGTAAATAAATGGTCGGTAAAGGATGCTTTCTAAAGAAACAGTGTAGCTAATATCTGAGCCATGGTGCTGGTAATCCCCATCTAAAGCAAGAGATTTGGAACATGTAAACAGCATGAAAGAAAGTTTTCCTCCTATAGTCTGTGCTATGTCTGTAGTAGAAAGGGCCATTAATACTCAACTTCATTTTCTATCTTCTCTCTTTTAAAACACACACACACACACACACACACACACACACACACACACACACACAATGTAGGCATCATTGTATTTTATGTAAGTTTATTCTATGTGGAGGGTCCCAGGGAAAGTGTCATTGGTGCATTGTGGAGGCTAGGGAACAACTTTGGGTTCTTTCCTTCACCATGTGGGTCCTGAAGATCGAACTCAGATCTTCAGTCTGTGCAGCGGGTGCCTTACCCACCGAGTAATCTGGCTGACTGGAGGCATTGTTTTTAAAAGATGTGGAGCAATGGCTTTCTAATTTCCAGAAATACTTCAAGTTAAGACACCATTTTTTTTATAAACTAATGAGATAAAATACTTGGCTTCAATTGTCGGAACCATCTAGCCTCTTTGGTGAAGACTCCTGTTACTGTGGTTGCCATGGATCAGATAAAGTCTACCATGACAGGTGTTCTCTACTGGTCCTATGGGCTATATTTGAGAGAAGTCAGAGGCCAGACTTATGTAAAGTGGCCAATTGAGATTTGGTACTGAAGGATTGCTATAACTATAGTTGCCAGATTCTAGACAATACTATTGTGAGCACAGACTAAACTTGCAAATCAGAGTATTGCCTTATATAGAGGGACACATTGCCTTATTCTTTCTAGAACAAATGCAGTTTAGAAAACACTAAATGCCTAGCTCAAAACATATGCAATTCAATATTCAATTATAAATGGGGGCTCCTGTTTATAGCAAGCATTTTTATTATGTCTTGGAGGAAAGATCCTCATGTAGTATTTGTCTTCTATTAAATTACCTCACTTTTTTAGACCAAGTGTTTCAGACCAATGAAATATTTGCCTATATATTTAAAATTGATTGTATATGTCAAAGTAATTTATAAAATCATTGGGGTGTGTGTATGCACATATGAATGTGCACTAGTTTATGAGCTTATGTGGAAGGAAGGTCAGAAGTACATCTCAGCTGTCTTTGTCTCCATCTTGCTTTTTGAGATGAGTCTCTCACTGAACCAGAAGTTGTTTGCTTAGGCTAGAATATCCCTACCCCTGTCTGTTTCTTCCCTAGGCCTAAGCTCTAGGGTTACAGACATAGCACCATACCTGACTTGTACATGGGTACAGGGGATCAAGACTCCGGTCCTTATGTTTGCACAGCAAGGACTTTACCCACAGAGCAATCTCTCTAGCCCCATAGATGAATTTTAAGATTAAAAACTTGGGGTAAGATGGGAGATTATCACATGATTCATGGAATGTCAGTAGTAGCCTGCCTTCGAGACTGGTTGAATAGAATTTCAGAGTGCTGTCAGCAGGGGAGCAGAGTAGGCTGCATCCTTGTGTGGAGGGTTACAGTACAAGGAGACTTCCTGAGGGTGAAGCTGGCCTCAGGGCCTCACAATAGACTCTGTTGGTGCCTTTGATATCTGGGGAATGAGATGAAACTGTCAGTGATGACTAGGATAGCTGTGTTGCCATTGGTGTAAATGAAGACATCCACCAGAATTAGTCTCAAAGGGGAAATGGTTCACTTGTCCTTTACAGTTGACTCTCAGGGCCTCAGTGGAAGATCCAACACAGAGAAGCACAGTTGAACTTATAAGTCTTAAAGGGACTTAAGACTTAAGAGAGCCTAAGACTTAAAGGGACTGTGAAGGTGAGTTATGCGGAAGTACCAACCAAAGCCAACAGCATGACAGGAAGTTCGGAAGAATGAGAGTTGAGCTTTGAGATAAGGTTGCACTTATGTAGTGAGTGGTGGTTGAGGGGGGAATCCAAGGAGAAAAAGAAAATCCAGGGAAAAGGGATAGTGCTCTAGAGGTCAAAGACTAGGAGGAAGGGGAGGTATTCGGTAAAACGCCCACATGAATAAGGTGTAACTCTAGCGCGCCATCTGGTGGGGGAGGCCAGTTTGTCACTGAGGACTCTTGAATTAAACTTGTAAGTTTTGACACATTTTAGAACTGAAAAGAAGGTGCAAGGGAAACAGCTTTACCCATGAAAGAGACTGGTGACTGGAACCTTAATAAAGAAAATGGCGATAGTGCTTGCTTAACTGACTGGAGTGAATAGGAGGTGCTGAGGTAAGGAGTGGAGGTGCAGAGACTAGTTCAGGGTAGGAGTAGCCTCTCCTAGGAGAGCAGGAGAGATAGGATGCAACCAAGAGGAGACAGGATGCCGTGGCCCCGTGGGCTCCATTGAATTCTATCTCTAATAAAAGTGTTCCAAGTGTCTACAATAAAGACCTAAGATTCGTGGGAAATAGCGTGACACAGAAGCAGCTCTCAGTATACTGTGTGGAAGACAACAGGACCAGGCGGAACTTGAGACTGAGGACTGGAGCTAGTGGGTTTTCATATCATCTTCTCCACATCACGGTCTTCATAAAGTGGGAATGCTGATAGAAGCAACTCCACGGAATAGCTGTGAGGTGGAAGGGTAGAATATGAAACTTGTGAAAGGAGAGAAACAGTTTGAAACAGCACAGAGTAAAAACTAGGGAAGATCTCAAGACAGATACAAAAAAGAAATATTCAGTTTAAAATGTGGCTAGTGTAGGAACCATTTTCAGTATCTCATGCTTTGCACCTCCGGTTTCACAATACCCTAATGAAATGTTTAATTAACCTGATGAAGAAATTAATCTTAGAATGAAACAGTGTCTCCTCCTCCCTGACTCCCCTCAATGTTCTCATTTTAATTTTTATATAGAATAGATGAAATGATCCATCATTGTCATGAGCTTCCTATCCAACCCCCAGCACTCTCTGGACCTTCTCTGCTATCCAGCCATGGAGAAACTCTAGCCTGACTAAGCACCTACCCTTTACTCTTCTCATGCATTTGGACAGCCCTTACTCAGAGTGCTGTCATTCTATGTTGGTCTGTGTAAGACCAGTTGCACAAAACATTAATGTAACCATAAAATCACAATGTGAGTTAAGGAATGCATGACCCCTATTTACTTTTTCCCATTTTCTTTTTGGTTCTTTTGAGACAGTGTTTCTCTGTGTAGCCTTGGAGCCTGGCACTTGCTCTGTAGACCAGGCTGGCCTTGAACTCACAGAGATTGGCCTGTCTCTACCTTCCAAGTGCTTGAACTAAGGGCGTGCACCACCACCGCCTGGCTACTTATTTTTTTTTTCTTAACAATCTCTTCAAATTCTAATTACCTAGATTTTTCAATTTAATGTTTGGCTCACTTCTAATTACTCTTTTCCTTCTAATCCAATTATTCCTGCTACTTTGGCTTTAGTGTTTATTTTCCTAAACTATTTTAAGCTAATAGAGAGACATTTGTAAAGACCACCATGCTAAATGAATGATCACAGTGAGCTATTCTGATAGGCATTAGGCTGCAGCTAGGTTCAGAGCAGATCAGCAAATGCAGAAGTCTCCTTAGGCTCCCACCCACAAACATCTCTCTTTCACAGAGATACCCACTCTGTGAACTTTGGACACTGACTTTGAACATAAATTGCTTTGTATCATCTCAATCTTCAGATGGAATCATGTAATGGGCATCCTCTTGAATTAGCAAATCCTGATACCATCTTTATAGAACTGCTTCCTGTATGGACCATTCACCTTCTCACTTGATGGTCTCCTGTTGTGTAGACTTAGAGCACTGCACCTCTCCACTCTGCTGGGAGTGGGAGTGGTGCAGTTTGCAGAAGGTGCTAGTCAGAGAACAGTATTGTCAGCACTCAGGGATGTGGCTCTCAGTGCCTAGGCACGAGCATTTTCTGTAACTGAATGACTGGATCACAGCACATGTGTGTGTGTTCAGTTCCAGAAATTCTGTCACAAAGATTCCTAAAGGAATAATCATATTCCTTTGGGTGGGGGACAAGAATTGCCCATGCTCTGTCCCACAGCCACACCTATATTTATACTGTCATCATGCTAAGGAGAATCTTCTGAAGTGACTATGCAATTGACTGTTTCATTTCTAGTTCTCTGAGCTTTTACTAAACATTTCAAACTTTGTTCTTACAGATTGCATTTTAGTCACTTCCCTGAAGACAGCATTCGACTACACCCCCGTTTGTACAGTCCAATAGACAACAAGAGGAAAGACCCAGGTCTCAGCTGAGGAACACAGCAGAGGCTGCGGCCCTTCAGTGCCTGGACTGAGCTGTTGCCCAGAGTGCTGGCTCTTGGTGTGTCAGAAAGCCTAAGGAAGGCTGTTCTCAGCACACTCACAGAAGCTGACTGGTACATTCTACCACAGCTATTCATTTATTAAAAACAAAACAAAACAAAACAAAAAACAAAAAAACCGCTGTCTCCTCAATCCTGTGTGTATATATATATATTGGAGTTTTGTGTTTAAATTGAAGCTATGAAGTCTAAGTCCAACTGTGCTCAGAATCCAAATTGCAACATAATGATATTTCATCCAAACAAAGAAGAGTTTAATGATTTTGACAAATACATTGCTTACATGGAGTCCCAAGGAGCACACCGAGCTGGCCTGGCCAAGGTCATCCCACCAAAAGAATGGAGAGCCAGGCAGTCTTATGACAATATCAGCAACATCTTAATAGCCACACCCCTGCAGCAAGTGGTATCTGGCAAGGCAGTTGTGTTCACTCAATACCATAAGAAGAAGAAAGCTATGACAGTGGGGCAGTGCCCCCCCCTGGCCAATAGCAAAAAATACCGGACCCCACCACACTTGAGTTTTGAAGATCTGGAGAGAAAATACTGGAAGAATCGCCTCTATGAGTCACCAATTTATGGTGCTGACGTTAGCGGCTCCCTGTTTGATGGGAAAACTCAACACTGGAACGTGGGACACCTGGGAACAATTCAGGACCTGTAGGAACAAGAACGTGGCATTGTGATTGAGGGCGTCAACACGCCCTACTTGTACTTCGGCATGTGGAAGACCACCTTCGCCTGGCACACGGAGGACATGGACCTGTACAGCATCAACTACCTGCATTTTGGGCAGCCCAAGACGTGGTACGCAGTGCCCCCTGAGCATGGCCGGCGCCTGGAGAACCTGGCCAAACAGCTGTTCCCGGGCAGCTCCCAGGGCTGCCAGGCTTTCCTGAGGCACAAGGTGGCACTCATCTCTCCCACTGTGCTCAAGGAGAACGGCATCCCCTTTGGCCGCATGACCCAGGAGGCTGGGGAGTTCATGGTCACTTTTCCCTATGGCTACCACGCTGGCTTCAACCATGGCTTCAACTGTGCAGAGGCCATCAATTTTGCCACCCCGAGGTGGATCGACTATGGCAAGGTGGCTACTCAGTGCAGCTGTGGGGAGGCCAGGGTGAGCTTCTCCATGGACGCCTTTGTGCGAATCCTTCAGCCTGAGAGATACGAGCTGTGGAAACGTGGCCAAGATCAGGCAGTTGTGGACCACACAGAGACTATGGGATCTACTAGTCAGGAGCTCACCCCAGGGCGGGTGATCCAAGCACCAAGAAAAACTCGGGGACTGAGGGATCTCCGGCTTCGCCAGGTCTCACACTGTCTTCTGCCGATAGCCACTGGCAGTAAGATTCCTTGCAGCTACAGGCAACAATCAGATGCTATAGTTGATGAGTTCCAGAAGCCTCATCCAGCCCCAGGCTCACAGCCTATGCGGGGTCTGTCTTCAGGTCACTACACGTCAACTGGAAGGCGTGGTCTTGGTCGACGCCATAGTGAATTAGGAGTTCAGGAGTGCATCAATGAGGCTCCAGTTAAGAGGCGCTTGCCAGCAGGCAGGGTAGACATAAGTCTGAACCCAGACCTTCTGTCCGAGTCTGTGATTGAGGACTTGATAGTCAAACCTGTGCCTGTGAGCCCTGGCCCACAGCATCCAGTGACAGCGTCTGAAGGTGGATTGATCTCTGACCCCTAAACATATGTCCTGCCTTACAGCTAGCTCATTGCTTTGCACTCAGGAAGCTTGCTAAGGCCATCACCTCTGGGTTTTGGCAGAGTTGGCAGGACACTGACCACGCCTGGGAGAGCTCCTTGTCAGTTCTACATACTACACTCATGTGTACCTTCCTCAATCTAGAACTTGACAAGCCTCTGGATACTGGTAACTCCCAGGCTTCCAGCTGAAGTTGCATTGCCTGGTCATTTTGGGTTTCTGAGAGCTGAGTGTAGCAGATGCTGCTCAAAACTGACCTTCATGCTCTGGGACAACAAAGGAGAAAGCTGAGAATTCAAGTTTCCCTCCCTCTCTTGCATTTCGTGAAAAATGTCAAACTTTGACAACTAGATTAATAGTCACAAAAAAGTAGTCACACACACACACACACACACACACACACACACACACACACACACACACACACACACAAGT